AAAATTGGACTAATAATTTCTTTCCTCATAGACAAGAATAGAAACTATCTTCATTAATTTATCCTATTTCTAGGTGTCATTAATGTGTTTAAAATGGTTGGCTTAAATTATTTTCTAAACCCATAGACAAGGTAGAAATAATTTTCCAATATTTTAATTAATAAAAATAGCCAAATTCATTAACTAGTTAAACTCTTTATTTTAGCAATTGAATTTATTTCTCATAGACAAGATGTAAATCCTTTTCATTAAATTATCCTATTTCTAGGCCTTATTAATGTGCTCAAATATGGTTGGCTTAAATTAATTTCTAATCTCATAGACAAGTTAGAATTAATTTTCCAAGAATTTAATTAATGAATATGGCTAACTATTATTAATTACTATTTCATCATTTCAAACAACTAGTCCAATTTATTAATTTTAACCCCTAATTTTAGGTCAACAAGTCAATCCATATTCCTTTTCTCAATTCATGCCCTAACAAATTTAGCTACTCATCACCATTTTTGCAATTAACAAAATAATGATTAAATTCAACATTAACAAGGAATTAAACATGTATGATAGCAAAAATTAAACAAAAATTATATTCTGGAACAATAAACTTGTAGGAACTAAAATATAACTTTCTGGAATTTTTCACCAATTTTTGAACCTAAAATCCAATTTTTGACAACTAATTGATAATTTTCCCAATTTTAACTAGAAAATGCAAAAAGCAACTAAAAATATGCTAACTTCGTTATAAATTTTATTCTAGCTACTGGGAGTGATATTACTATGAATCAAACTGAAATTAAGGCCGAACTAATTTTTTTCTATTTTTCTAGTATTTATTCTAAATTATGAACTAATCTCAAATAATTACCCAAATTAATTAAAAATTACTTATGCTTCGTGAAAAATTAATTTATTCAGATAAATAACTACCTTGAGGCTAGTAAACAACTATATAATTAATTGGAATGAATTCAACAACAATAACTATTTTATTTAATTTTTGGAAGTAAATGCGAAATACTTGAAAAATAATCTGGAAATTTTCGAAGAACAGATTGAACAAACAAAGTGCAGATTCAGATTCTACTCGTTGAGAAGATGAAAATACATATAAAGAACTTACAATTTGGAGCTAAAATGAAGAAGATATGAAGATTTGAAGTTTCTCTCTCTCTAAAACCTTTGGAGCTCGAAAATGGAGGAAGAAAGAGGGTGTTTTGAACTGATTTAGGGTTGGAAGAGGTGTGTTTGGGTTGAGGAAAAAGCCTGGTTTTTATAGCAGAAAAAATCCCGAAGGCGCCCAAGCAGGCGGCCGCCTTCCGTCGGCATCTGGCCGCCTGCCGTCTTTTCGCCGGCAATCCATCGTGGGCCGGTCTCCGTCCGCCGTAGGCGGCCACAGAGGGCGGCCGCCTTCCATGAAAACCGGCCGCCTACCGTCTTTTCGTAAGCAAATCGGATCGCGGCGGGTCCCGGCGGATCCCGGCCGCCGCAGGCGGTCCAGCAGGCGGCCGCCTGCCGTTCCTGTCTGGCCGCCTGCCGTCAAATCCCACCGGCCGGCGGTTGCTTCGTCGTCTTCTGCCGCAGGCGGTCACCGTAGGCGGCCGCCTTCCGTCCAGTGTCGGCGGCCTACGGTCTTTTCCGAATCCGGTCAAAGTCAAGGTTTGACTTTCCAAAAATACCGTAGGCGGCCGCGAAGGCCTTCATTTTGGCCGCCTGCACGGCCGCCTTTGAGATTATTTGTCCGGCTTGTTCCTTATTTTGTGCTCTTCAATATTGTCTTCTGGACCACCTTGAAATAATGTCTCCTTCTTTCGGTATGATATCATTTGTTGCTCGAATTGGCTCATTTTGTGCTCAATTGACCCGAAATTCCGACAAACATACGATGAATGTGGTTTTCACCTGATTTCATAAAATTTGAACCAAAATATCTAAAACATGCCTTTTCTTTCTATTTTCAATCAAAAATCGCTTAAATTTGATAAGAAAAATAAGTACAAAAATGGACTTATCAATCTCCTCACACTTAAGCGTTGCTTGTCCTCAAGCGACGAATTAGTTGGAAACACACTCAAAAAGGGAAAACCTGACTATATCACAATCGAATTGCTATTAAAGAAGTAGAAACAAAAACCTCTTCTTTTTATTCTCAATCTTTAAACATTTTAGAAAAATCACCCAAAATACAAGAGTTTAAAATTAGTATTACTTACGAAAAACTATTTATTATGTTAAACCACCAATCAATTCCTTATCCCAAGATTTTCATTATTCTAATTTGGACATTCATCTTGTTCACCATTCTTTTTTTTTTTTTTTTTTTTTTTTTTCACTCTTGTTGGCGGTGTTATCCCATGGTAAATGCATATTTCATTCTCACAGACTGTGATTAGCGAATGAAACAGAGCCCCTTTTCGGAGATGGAATTGTCCTATAACAATGAGTTTTGAAGAGGTTTATTAATAGTAACATTTTTTTAATGAATAAAATGAATGTCCAATTAAAACAAATTCAGACCTTTACATTCGCAACCAAAAACCCATAACAATTTTAAGTTTTCAAAAATAATAATAATAGTAAATTCTTATAATAAGGGTGATTTTCTAAACTATTTTGTGAATTGATAACAAATTGAGAAATTAATGTTTCATATCAAAAATAGTAAAAAGATTGTTCTAAAACAAGGTTTTGACTTTTGAGTGTAAAACGCAACCTCCTCACACTTGAGCTGGACCTCGCCCTCGAGGTCTTCTCTTGAGGCACAAAATTGGGAAATAAAGGCACATAATATATTTTTTTTTTTTTTTTTTTTTTTTTTTTTTTTTGGTTCTTTCCTCACACTTGAGTTTTGCAAAGATTTTGTGAAGAGGAATAATGAAACAGGAGAAAAAATGGTTTTAAAAATCCTTACATCATCCATAGTCAGTTTGTAAGAGCATTCAAGTCAAAAGAGCAGCGCAATGTCCAACCTGAAGAACAAACAAACATGATAAAAATGTTAAGGAAGAAGCAAATCTAAACATCGCCTGCGCCATCCTGGGGGCCATAGTGTGGCCTAAGCCAATCTCTCATCTCATCAATATCTAGCCTCTGGGTCTCTAGCTCCGCCTGCATATCCTGGGTGGCTCTCTCCTGAGCTAATCGAAAGTCTCTGAACTCTCCCAGGGCCGTCTCATGCGCATCTCGCATCTCCTGGAACCCTCTGTCCTGTGCAACCCGCATCTCTGAGACTGAGGTCTGTAGACTCCTCATCCCATCCATCATCGCTCTCCAATCTGTGGCGCTAGGCATGTATGAAAAGGGCTCGCTAGATCCCTCATGTCCTGAGGGTCGAGAAGAACTACTCTGCTGGGTCGGCTGCTCAATACCTGGGAGCTCCTGAGTATTCCGCTTCTTCTTGATCCTCATGTTGGTAAAGGATGAGGATCGAAGAACGCGGATGCTCTCCTGTAAATGTGATAGCCCTGGAATGTCTAGATCTGGGTAGAATGATCTAACGAGGGTAGTGATGAAAGGCCCTGCCTGGATAGTGCGCCGCACAGTCTTCCCCTGGCTCCGGAAGAAACGAGCCATAAGGACAGCCATATTCACCGGGATGCGGTGAATCAAACTCCAAAAGAATAGTATGTCCTTTTTGGACAACCTGTTTGTGTTGTTAGGTCGTCCAAAAAAACCACAAGAAAGTACGAACGAGAGTATGTACCAGTGAGTCTCCCTCCATTTGTTCGAATGGGGGTGCATCCGGAGAAATGATCTGGTGTCTGTGGAGTGTCTGTGCCAGAACTCATCAATGTCAAATGCCTCGGGTAAGCGGGTCGGAAGAGCACGGAACTCCTCAGTCTGTGTGTATGCTGGGGTATAGAGCCCCATCCTCCATCCGAGCTCAGCCACAGTGATGGAGTGCTCCATGCCTAGAATAGTAAACCTCATCCGAGACTCTGACCCAATAACAGCACCCTCCTGCACAGCCTGTCCGTAATGAGTGAACTGAACGGAGCACAGAAACTCCATCGTCAATGGAAGGCTGGCCCTCTCCTGAACGAATAGAATCCTCCGCCATAAAGAGTCTCCTAGCAGGGCATCAATGTCATCCCAGTACCCCCATTCCTCTAGCATCGTCGGGTCCAGGATCATGGGAGGAAGGAGTGTGCGGTATTGCCCCCATGCCTGGAAGCGTCTGCGATCAGCAATAGTAGCAAATGGGATATCAGGCTGAGGTGGCGGGTCTTCCCGTCCTAGTGGTGGCTCCTCGAAAATGGGATCGTCACGTCTTCCTCCAGACATCTGCAAGAAATAAACAAAGTAAAATATTTTTGGGTTAGTTTTTTTTTTTTTTTTTTTTTTTTTTTTTTTGGTTGGGTTGCCTCCCAATGAGCGCTTCTTTAACGTCACTAGCTTGACGAATGTCCTCCCTTGGTTCAAAATTTTTGGAGATAGAGAATCTCCTTGCTTTTTTCAATCGGGCCGCCATGGTAAAGTTTAAGTTGGTGGCCGTTGACTTTAAAGGGAGCCCCATTAGCATCTTCAATCTCAACAGTTCCGTAGGGGTAAGCTTTTATGACCTTGAATGGTCCGGACCATCTTGATTTAAGCTTTCCTGGAAAAAGCTTCAACCGGGAGTTGAACAACAGCACTTTATCTCCAGCATTGAAATCACGAGCTTTGATGTGTTGATCATGGTAGAGTTTGGCTCGTTCCTTGTAAAGTTTGGAATTATGAAAAGCTTGCGCTCTCCATTCTTCCAGTTCATTCAGCTGGTAAAATCGTTCCTTCCCTGCAGTATCCAGTTTAAAACAGACATTTTTCATCGCCCAAAGTGCTTTATGCTCGAGTTCGACGGGTAAGTGGCAAGACTTCCCGTATACAAGGCGAAAAGGTGTGGTTCCGATCGGGGTTTTGTAAGCAGTCCGAAATGCCCAAAGAGCGTCGTCAAGTTTAGTCGACCAGTCTTTCCTGGTCTGGGCAACAGTTTTCTCCAGAATGGACTTCAAATCCCTGTTAGCGTTCTCCACTTGTCCTTGAGTCTGGGGGTGGTACGCTACTCCGCTTCGATGTTGGACTCCATATTTGGCCAAAATTCTAGCCATTGGGTCATTGTGGAAATGAGTCCCTCTATCGCTGATCAAAACCCTAGGCACACCAAATCTGGTAAAGAGCTTTTTCAGAAAATTCACGACTACTCGAGAGTCGTTGGTGACACAGGCCTGGGCTTCAACCCATTTAGAAACATAATCAATGGCCACAAGAATGTATTTGTTTCCTCTTGAGCTTGGGAAAGGTCCAACAAAGTCGATGCCCCAAACATCAAATACCTCACAAGGTAAGATAAAGTGTTGGGGCATCTCATTGCGCCCAGAAATGTTCCCGATTCGTTGACAGTTATCACAAGAAGAAACAAATACATTAGCATCTTTAAAAATCGTGGGCCAGAAGTACCCACAGTCCAAAACCCGCCTTGCGGTTCTATTCCCTGAGAAGTGGCCCCCAGTAGGACCGCTGTGACAATGCTCCAGAATGTCCTTTGCCTCAGCTTCAGTAACACATCTTCTCACCACCTGGTCAGCACAAATTCGGAATAGATATGGATCATCCCAAAAATAGTGCTTTGCTTCTGATAGGAACCGCCTTTTCATGTGCCTTGTCAGTTCGGTAGGCTCGACTTTACCAACAAGGTAGTTGGCAATGTCGGCATACCACGGTGTTTGCTCCTTGGCGGAAATCGCCATCAATCTCTCAGCAGGAAAAAGCTCCTCAATTTCGCATTTTCCGAAAGTTTCTGCTAACTCGGCATCTAACCTCGAGAGGTGATCAGCTGCCTGATTAGCAGACCCTTTTCGGTCCCTGATTTCAATATCAAATTCCTGCAACAAAAGAACCCAGCGTAACAGTCTAGGCTTAGCATCATGCTTTTGGAGGAGATATCTAATGGCCGAATGGTCGGTATAGATAATAACCTTCGAAAGAATGATGTAAGTCCTAAACTTCTCTAAAGCACAAACAATAGCAAGGAATTCTTTTTCAGTGGTGGTGTAGTTGAGTTGTGGCCCTGACAGAGTTTTGCTAGCGTAGTAGATTGGGTGGAAGTTCTTGTCCTTCCTTTGACCAAGGATGGCCCCCACTACTAAGTCACTAGCGTCACACATGAGTTCAAAGGGTAAGCTCCAATCTGGGGCCACAAGCACAGGTGCATTGATCAGTTGTGTTTTAAGTGCTTGGAAAGCATGGTGACATTCATCAGAGAATATAAAAACCGCATCTTTTTCAAGTAACCGGGTGAGAGGTTTTGCGATTTTAGAGAAATCCTTTATAAAACGACGATAAAAGCCCGCGTGTCCTAAGAAGCTGCGGATGGCTTTTACCGTGGTTGGTGGAGGAAGTTTCTCTATTGTCTCAATTTTTGCACGGTCCACCTCTACCCCGTTACTTGACACTTTATGTCCAAGTACTATACCCTCTTTCACAAGGAAGTGACATTTCTCCCAACTTAGGGCTAAATGGGTTTCCTTGCAGCGGATAAGTACTTTTTCCAGGTTTTCAAGGCATTTTTCAAATGTTTCCCCAAAAATAGAGAAGTCATCCATGAATACCTCCATGAAGTGGCCAATGTATTTTTCAAAAATGGCAATCATGCACCTCATGAAGGTGGCAGGGGCATTACAGAGACCAAAAGACATCCTACGAAAAGCAAAGGTCCCAAAAGGGCATGTAAACGTAGTTTTGTCTTGGTCTTCCGGGTTGACATGGATTTGGAAGTATCCACTCATGCCATCCAGGAAACAGTAGTGACTATGGCCTGCCAACCTCTCTATTAATTGATCGATGAAGGGAAGGGGAAAATGGTCTTTCCGGGTGGCTTCGTTCAGTTTGCGGTAATCGATTACCATTCGCCACCCGGTAACAGTTCGACTGGGTAGAAGTTCGCCCTTTTCATTTTTCATGACGGTCATTCCCCCCTTTTTGGGGACAACATGAATAGGGCTTACCCACTGGCTATCAGAGATGGGGTAAATGATACCTGCATCCAGCAGTTTGACAATCTCGGCACGCACTACTTCCATCATGTTTGGGTTTAAACGTCGTTGTGGTTGGACAACTGGTTTAAACCCTTCCTCAATTTTGATGGTGTGGGTACAAAAGGTGGGGCTAATTCCATTGATGTCCTCAAGTTTCCAAGCAATTGCTTGCTTGTGTGTCTTAAGGACTCCAAGTAATTTCTCCCTTTGTTCCTCACTTAAGTGTGCGGCGATGACGACAGGGCATTTGCCTTCGTCATCCAAGAATGCATATTCTAAGTGGTCGGGCAGTTTCTTTAGTTCGAGGGGGTGGTCGTTTTTCAAGTTTTGTTCATTTTTCTCCCCTTCAAACTCAGTCAATACTTCGTTAGAAGCTTGATCAATCAGCGCATCCTCACAACTCTCACATGCATCACTCACATCACTGTTGGCCTTTTTTAACAGACATGCCTCATCAGTTACATGTCCATTTTCTTCCCCAAACAGATACCCTTCAATAGACTCAAAGGTATCAAGAAAATGACATCCTTGAAAGGAATCTGTGGGGTGTTTCATAACATCTGAGAGTCGGAAGGTGCATAGATCATCTCCGACTCTTAGAGTTAATGAGCCATCAGTGACATCAATCAAGGCCCTGGCGGTAGCCAGAAATGGCCTTCCCAGAATAAGAGGTGTTTCCCTATCCTCTTCCATGTCCATTACTACAAAGTCGACTGGGAAAATGAATTTGTCAACCTTGACCAGGACGTCTTCAACAATTCCTTTCGGATATTTGACTGAGCGATCAGCCAGTTGAAGACACATCCTGGTGGGTTTCATTTCCCCAAGTCCTAGCTTCTCGACTATAGAGGAAGGCATCAGATTGATACTTGCCCCTAAGTCAGCTAGAGCATTATTGAAGTTGAAATTGTCTATAGAGCAAGGGATAGTGAAACTACCTGGATCCTTTAGCTTTTCGGGTATTGACCTCAGAACCACGGCCGAGCATTCTGCGTTTAAGTCCACGACTGAGAGTTCCTGCAGCTGCCTCTTGTTTGTCAGCAAGTCTTTGAAAAACTTGGCATATTTGGGCATTTCCGCTAGGGCATCCATCAGCGGCAGGTTGACGTGGAGTTGTTTGAGTAGGTCCAGGAATTTGTTGTACTTCCTGCTATCGTCATCATTTCTAACCCGTGAAGGAAACGGGAGAGAAGGTTTGACGATAGTGACCTTTGTGTTAGGGCGTGTTGGTTCCATGCTCTTCTCAGTTGGAGCATCAGTTTGTTTCTCAGGTTCCATGGTTGGGGTACCTTCCTCTTCCTCGTCTTTCTGCTCAGCCACGGTTGTTTGTCTCCCGCTTCGGAGAGTGATGGCTTGCACATGTTCACGGGGGTTTGGTTCCGTGGTGCTAGGCAAGTTGCCTGGCTGACGACCGGGAACATTGTTCTGATTAATTTGCATCATTAGATTTTTGATCTGATTGTCAGTGCTGGCCTTGTATCTTGTTATTTCCTCCCGTGTCCTTGCCAGTTCTGCTACCAGCAAGCCTATCTCTGATGGCTGGGCAGCCTCCGTTTGTCGTTGGTGTGGAGGCACATAAGGTTGGTTGTTTTGTTGGCTTGATGTACCTCCCTGGTTACGACCTTGGAAGTTGTTGCCTTGATTGTTGTTGGAGTAGTTTTGATTACCTTGATAACCGCCGCGAGGAGGACCATTGTTGTAATCCCCCCGCCATTGGTTACCTTGGTAATTCCTTCCTTGGAAATTCTGAGGAGGGTAGTTGGAGTTACCCCCCCTGTTGCCTTGATTCGCCCATGGCCCTTCTTGTTTTGTTCGGCCGTACTCCAGCATGTTCACTTCCCTGTTGTTGTTTACATTACATTCATCGACTAATTGACACGAGTTGGTCAAATGTGGACCAAAACATATCTCACATGAGAGTACAAGTTCAGTTGAATGAGAAACAGGTGAAAAAGTATTAAATTGAGATGACTGTGGAGCAGAGCTTGAGTTCCCGAAGTATCGGGATGATTGTTGATTTGGGACAGCACCGATGTTGTTGACTTGGTTGGTGTGATTGTTTTCATTCTTCAGATTCTTTACTTCCACGACCAACCCTTCAATCTTTGCTGTTAAGGCCGTGAGTTGGTCAACTTCAAGATAACCTGGTTTTGTTGCTGCTGGAGTTCTTTCGTCATACCAGTATCTTGCATTTGAAGTGACCTTCTCCACCAGAGCTTCGTTGGTGTTGGGTGCCATGTCAAGGAATGATCCCACCTGAGAAGAGAAATCAAGTTCTTTTTTGCTACTAACTTGAAGTCCATTGTAAAAATGGAACATCAAGCTACTAGAATCCATCAGTGTGAGTGGACATTTGTTTCTCATATCCTTGAAACGATCCCATGCTTCACTTAAGGACTCCATCGGGAATTGTCTAAAATTTTGAATTGCTGTTTTAATTTTAGCAACTGCCGATGGAGGAAAGTATTCTTGCATGAATGCTTGGTGCAGTGCCGCCCATGTTGTGAAGTGACCCGTTGGAAAGCTATTCAGCCACAAAGATGCCCTATCCCGTAATGAGAAGGGAAATAGGGTCAACTTTGCGGCGTCGGAGGTCACTCCGTTAAAGCGGAACGTTTGGCATGCTCGGGTGAACCACAACATGTGGGCCCTAGGGTCATCTTGCTTGGACCCGCCAAATTGATGATTGGACATCATGTTGACAATTGCGGGTTTGATCTCGAAATTGGCTGCCTCGATTGCCGGTGCGCTGATACTATCATCCTCGATGAAGTTTGGCGTAAGATTTTGCAACACCGTCCTTTCTCCCGCCATGCTTGGTTTCTTGTGGATTGAAAGGTTTTTCCACAAAGTTCGTTCAGGTTCAGGATCAAGTTCAATTAGACCTTCCACTCCTTTAGAGCGGGTGTGCATTCATTTATCCTGAAATCTTTATACAAATTGTCGCAAGGGCGAAAAAGTCTCCCTAACTAGAATTCACCTATGCTAGAATTAAATCAAGAAATAATCGTGCCATTCCCCGGCAACGGCGCCATTTGATAACCGCTTTTGCGGCGTTGTAGTAAAACGGAGTCTAACCTTTCGGTTTTTCCCCGAGTGTCGTGTCTCTTGAGGAATGGCGGAGAAGTTTCTTAATTTAATTTTAGTCACGGGCTATCGCTAATTGTTGGGAGCTTTTTCAATATAGGAAAGTGATTTTGTTCTATATTACGCTAAATTATAACTAGGAGCAAGGTGCAATTTAAAGATTAATGTATAAATATTGAATATTCAAGGATGCAAATAAGGGCAATGAATTGAGTAATTAGAAATGGATATGTTCTTGGACCTCTTAATTAGGGAAATTAAAACTAAAATTGGACTAATAATTTCTTTCCTCATAGACAAGAATAGAAACTATCTTCATTAATTTATCCTATTTCTAGGTGTCATTAATGTGTTTAAAATGGTTGGCTTAAATTATTTTCTAAACCCATAGACAAGGTAGAAATAATTTTCCAATATTTTAATTAATAAAAATAGCCAAATTCATTAACTAGTTAAACTCTTTATTTTAGCAATTGAATTTATTTCTCATAGACAAGATGTAAATCCTTTTCATTAAATTATCCTATTTCTAGGCCTTATTAATGTGCTCAAATATGGTTGGCTTAAATTAATTTCTAATCTCATAGACAAGTTAGAATTAATTTTCCAAGAATTTAATTAATGAATATGGCTAACTATTATTAATTACTATTTCATCATTTCAAACAACTAGTCCAATTTATTAATTTTAACCCCTAATTTTAGGTCAACAAGTCAATCCATATTCCTTTTCTCAATTCATGCCCTAACAAATTTAGCTACTCATCACCATTTTTGCAATTAACAAAATAATGATTAAATTCAACATTAACAAGGAATTAAACATGTATGATAGCAAAAATTAAACAAAAATTATATTCTGGAACAATAAACTTGTAGGAACTAAAATATAACTTTCTGGAATTTTTCACCAATTTTTGAACCTAAAATCCAATTTTTGACAACTAATTGATAATTTTCCCAATTTTAACTAGAAAATGCAAAAAGCAACTAAAAATATGCTAACTTCGTTATAAATTTTATTCTAGCTACTGGGAGTGATATTACTATGAATCAAACTGAAATTAAGGCCGAACTAATTTTTTTCTATTTTTCTAGTATTTATTCTAAATTATGAACTAATCTCAAATAATTACCCAAATTAATTAAAAATTACTTATGCTTCGTGAAAAATTAATTTATTCAGATAAATAA